ATCGCGTTCGTCTCCTGGCTCCACATCTTCATTGCGTGAGCTAATTTTAGGGTTTAGGGTAGCTGAAAAGCCATTCGCACCCTTCAGCAACACATACATCTTCTGTCGCACATAGAGCAACATGTCTTCCAGGCCCTTACCAGATGGATATGGGTCTGGAGAAGACTTCGGACAAAATTCATCGTGATACTTGAGGGCTGTCTTGTAGTTGGCAATGCACCTGTTGCCTCGATCATATACATTTCTTCCCAGGATAATCTCGCCTTTTGTTTTGGCTAGTGCCTCACGCGTGAAGCCTCTAGAGTGGACACAGAATGTGGTAGCTGAAAGCAACTTATGCGTGAGCAGAACAACTCATAACAAATTCAAAGCAAAGGCAGAACTCACCCTCATCGCAAGACACTAGATCTTTCAAGATTAGGGCATAGCCATCTTTCCTCTGCTCATTGCCTTCTCGATCGTTCTCAATTGCCGTCCGGTCAAACATGGAGGCATAGTCGCCCTTTCCTTCAATCAAATTTGTTAAGCAAGAACCGTATCCAGCCGATCCGTGGAAGCATTTTCCCATCAACTCTTTTTGGCCCTCAAGATCCTTTCCATCTGCTTTGTCGGCCATGCAGATTTGCGGATAGGGTCGGCCTTACGGTAGGGTATGGTACGGTACGTAACAAGGTCTGAGTACAGCAACAACAAAATAATGAGGCAACAGCCGGCAAAAACAAGAAGTTTACAAGTTTACAGCGACGAGCGTTTTCTGAAAGAGACAAAGACCGCTTGTTATTTCGATTGGGATTCTTCAATAACCCCTCTTTATATTTATTTTTTTAAATGAAGTGACGTGACTGGGACGCTCACTATGCATATAAGGCACTATGCTAGCGGCAAGATCGAAAAGAGCCTGAGACATTCTCTGCATCCTCAGAGATCTCACTTTCTCTTCCGGTTTGGCGCTGCTTGGCCACCTCGTTCCCTTTGGCCTTTGGCCTGCAACTCTCAACTCCCTTCTCTCACCTCACAATAAAGGCAGAGGAAGCAGCCAACACAAATCACAGACCACCATGGGCCACTCAAGCGCTACCAGCACTGCAACTCCACCAGAGCACTTTGTGTGTCCCTTGACATTGGAGGTAATGGAAGATCCTGTGCGACACACGGCAACCGGTCACTCGTTCGAGCGCAAAGCAATCCTCAAGTGGTTCTGGTCGGGCCATGCATCTTGTCCATTGACACGGCTGCCACTGCATCCAAGCGAATTGGTGTCGAATGATGCGCTCAGTCAAGAAATTGAAGTCTGGAGGCAGCTCACACGAATTGTCAAGAGACGCTCCTCCCGAGAGTCGTCATCGTCATCCAAGCGGGACGAAAACCATGACCAACAAGCCAACGTGGATCGGTTGCTGTCCATGAGAAATCGAGTGTTGGAACGCAGAGCTCAAAAGATGCAAGCGCACATGTCTTTGTTGAAACGAGGATGAGATGTGAAGAAGCCCGGCGTCGCTACTGCCAAGCAACTGGCAATCAACAAATACAAAATGATTGGCCGCCGAAGCTACCGTATGGGCAGACAAGAATCAAGAATTGCTTTGAACGAGTACTCTGCTCCATACCTCGTCAAGAATGCCAAGGGCTGAGTTTGGCAGTGACTCGACTCGAAGGCGGCACCTGTGTGGTGGAGCACACAGGGAGCACACAGCAACAAACGTTTCCAGCCAGAACAAGAGTTCAAGCCGCCCAAGGAGCCATAAAGTTTATCGGTCGCCGGTCACCCGTCACAGGAAAGGGGCACTCAAGAATGCTTTCTTTAGTGCTAACCAAGCGGGGAAGCAATAGTACTGAATTTTTTGCGATAATGATTTATCTAGCTAGAGTACAGTAGCACATACCCTTCCATCATTTGTTGCTGACGGTTGTAGGCGTCGTTCATGCTGAATTAATTTGGAAAGTCGAGTCAGCAAATGGTGTCAGGCGGTGTCTTCGCAATTTAAATCGAAGCCGGAGCTGGTACGTAGCACTCCTGTAGCTCCACTCCAAGGCATCCAGAAGGACGTCGAAAGCAAATTGGAGCCTTGGCGACTGGCTTGGTCGCTTTTGGAATGTCTCTAGTAGCCAGTCAATAAAGGTAGAGCCTTCACTGCATTGGTAGGTATCTCTGGCATACAGAATTGGGCTTTTGATGCAATCAGCTTGTCTTATCATTTTTTAAATATATAGTCGGTATGTCCACTACTAATATTCTTGATTTGGAAAGCATGCTATAGATGTCATGACTGCAGCAAACCACACTATGAGAAGGGCTGCCAAGAAAGCACCGTTTGTATTGAGGGTTCGGCTGCGTGCGCTACAGGAACGGACGAGCTGACGGGGATATGGCTCATTTTCCCAGAGTAGTAGACCCGTCCTTGGAGGATGTGTCTGGCTGGTGGTAGAGTTCTTCAGAGATGCTGCTGTGGCTCTCTGCACTTGGGTTCTTTGCGCTAGAAAATACCTCGTAGATACGGATTGGCTCGTGAGCAAGGAATCGTAGGCAGTATTGAACAAGGTCATATTGTTGTGTTTGTGGGTTGATCAATGAAATAAATATTCTTGTGAATGACAGGGAAGTGCAATTCAGAAATCAAACTGAAGGTTGTGTTTGTGCTTTTTGGTTTGTTGGTTGTTTTTATTATGATCATATCTTCTTCTATTCCTGAAGGATCAAGCAAGATATTCATCTTCTTTGTAAGGTATTAGTTCTTGCTTGGTTCCTAGTGCGGTAGACGGTATTGGCTTTTGCAATCTACCGCACTGGGAATTGCTAGTTAGCTTGTTTCTCCAGACTGCTGGCTTGACGGTATGGTGGATGCATGTCTCCCATGCTCGCAGGATTGTGATTTGATCCAGTGTGTTCTCGATCTTCTCGCTCGACTGTTGCTCGGTATTGTAGATCGTCGATGACGAGAGATGGGGCCGGCCCGTCCGGTGGTACAGTACCTTTCGGTTGTCCTCTGGTGGCATTCATCAACAAAAAGAGTCCGTTCCTGTGAACACAAACGTTTCAAGGTAGTTTCCGCTTCTAAGGCTTTTGGTTTGTATCCAACCGATACGAGTAGTATCCCCAAAATTTTTGTTGTTCCTATTTGGCCCTCATCAACAAAAGTGTCCGTCCGTTCCTCCGAGCACGATCGTTTCATAGTTGTTTGCCCACCTCTGCATTTTGCTTTGTCAGCATGGAGTCAAAGTAGCTAGGGAGGAACTATCTCATGCGATAAGAACAAAGTAGCCGACGGCGGTGAAGAAGTCTCAGGACAATACGAGTTTCTTGCATTCGTGAGATTTATAGTGTCTATTATCTAGGCAAATAATGTCATAGCTGTCAAGACAGAAGCAAACCAGACTGTGAGAACCACGGCCATGAATGTTCCGTTGGTGTCGCTTGCACCTGATGTTGGTGTGCTTGCTTTTGCCGTAGAGGTGGGTTCATTGCTTTTAGGGGCCGGAGGCGCTAGGTGCATCTTTCCTTCGGCGCTGCGATTTCGGTCCGCATGTCCATAGACAGCCAGACTCCAAGATACCAACTTGTTTTCAGTCGGCACGATGTTACCTCCACCGCAAGCGCAGCAGGCCTCAGCAGGGGCACGGCCGTTGGTGTCGACCATGGTATCGACTTCCTCAGAAAGAACAAGCCCGTCGGCACAGAGCCTGGATCCTTCGATGTCAATACTGAACAAACTACAGTCGAAAACCATGCCTGGCAATTCATCCACAGTCAAGGACAATGGGAAATCAACGCACTCCCCTGGCGTTGTGTAGCTTCCAGTTTTCTTGTCAGTAACCGTGAGAGTCCAGTCACCCGTAGGATCTTCGCCCCAGTTCTTGACGGTCATCAACTTCCAGCGTTCTTCGCTGCTCATCTGTGTGGACTCAGGGAATTTCCCTGGGCTAAGTACCGATTTCATGCCAGAGGGACTGGTCAACACAACTTCAAGATTTCCGCGAGATGCGTGCTCAAGTTGAAGGTAGACGACAACTGACTCTGTATAGAACCCGACCTGTCCGTTTACCTTTGTTTTGGAGATGACAGGAAGCGATTCGTCATCGGCGATGGGAATGTTGACTATTCCAGAGTCCAGAAGAATTTGTTCCTCAGTTCCAAAATTAACCCAGTCTCTGGCAGCCATCACTGCAGCATCTACGTTCATGATGCCGAAGCCATAAAAGTCGCTGTGGTGCAAGCCAACGCCATTGGTGCTCCAAGTTGGGCTTTCCGGGTCAGTCTTGCTCGACGTTGTAGCGATGATACCCTGCACATCTCTCCATGTGAGACTGGGGTTTGCTTCGAGGAGGAGAGCTGGGAGAGAACATGTGAGCGAACAGCTTAGAGGCACCTTGATGTTTCTTCATGCGCAATTTTGAACCAAGCTGGCTTACCAATAGCACCAGCTACCTGGGGAGTGGAAAAGGAAGTTCCAACACCCGTTGAATAGCACCCTCCACCAGGCAATGCCGCGACTGAACATAGTCGATGTTATTGCACGAGAAATCAAATGTCAGTCAATGTGTATCCAATCTACCCTGATGCGTGACATTTGAATGTGTGCAACCTACCATTGTTGTTATAGTTTTCGAAATCTCCACCAGGTCCACTGGATTCAAAATTCAACAGGAAAGCGACAAGAGATTGAGCGAAGTTTGTCGACAAAGCAGCCGTAGAGATTCTCTGTCTTTGTGCCGTACCTAACGAAGACAGCAGCGCCAGTGGAAGAATAGCTAGCGTGAAGTCCGTCCTTCCCAACTGCTCCAACCACGATTGTGAATCGAGTATTCAGCCATCCTTCGAAGTTGACGTCTTGGGGACAAGATTACAAGACTCTGTGAGCATCACGTCGCGGCAAATGAAACTACATGGGACAGCGATGTTTCCTTACTTTCATAGTATGCGTATTCGTTTCCTATAGACCAGTGATCGAGAAAGGATGAGTTGTCGCTTGATACTGTACCATAATGGACGACGACGTGAGCATGAGGCTGCAACTCACCTGATGCGACAACGTAGATGATGCCTTTGCCATCGCGCCCTTCTGTAACTCCGCGACTGAGGGTTGCTCGACCTCTCTCTGATAGAGTATTGAAGTTGCAATCAAGGAATATGTCGAGAGCCTCGGAACTACAAACACAACAAAATCATCACGAAGTCAGACACACAAAGAAGGTTGAACGTTGCATGTTCCGTGCAACTCGCATGATCTTACCACCCAGCGACATCGACTTCGCTATGTTTCCCACAGTACTCAATGACTTGCGTCCGACACTCCTCGTCAACTCCAAGAGCACATGCATTGCAAGGGTTCTCTTCAACATCCAAGACAAATGGGCACTCATAGCCTGAGAATCTGCTGTTGTGACCCCGTCCCACCTCAATTCCATCATCTCCTAAGAGAGGAGGAGCTTTCGCACCACAAGCATCCACACCCCAAGAGTTGACTGAAATATGGGTCGTTGCAATACCGTCGTCGAAGAAATCCTCAGGAGTGGTTGATCCGGGAGGGGCAAATGCGAGACACGCTGACAGTGTTGCACCAGGGGCGATCCCAACCGCACATTCGTTGTTGTCTGCCCCCGCAACGGCAAGGGATGCCACGGCCGTCCCATGTTTGTCGGCTGGCCTACCATCCCAAGGATGTAGGGTCATGTTGTATGGTAGATACTCTTCACAAGATGCCTCTACCGAGAAACGGCCAGCAAACTCTGGGTGCGTGACATCCACTCCTTCTGGATCATTGACACGGACGACAACCCCCTTTCCAGTGAGACCTTGGCGCCAGACCGGCTCAACTTGCAAAAGGTCAAAGGCCCACTTTTGAAAGTTATACGCCGGATCACTGAATACACTCGTGTTGGGTTCGGGGGTTGTCGTGGTGACCCAATCGCTTTCTGACGTGCATGCTGGGAGGCTCGGGGGCTTGTTGTCGTCTGTGAATTGTGAAAAGAAGGCGTCTCCTACGGGTTGTGACAAGCAGAGGCCATCTCCGGGGCAAAAGAAGCACTCATTCTGCACGCAGGCATTCCGGTCAAAGTTGTGTTCTTGACAGGGATTACAGTCGAAGCAATTGGTTTCTTCTGGGCACCCTGCTGGGCCCGGCATACCCGCATTGCAGAAACCGATGAACTGATGAGGACATGCTTCCTTATCCCAGATTAGATCTTTGGTCAGATCACCACTGCAGGTTGGCTGTGCTTGAGCGTTGCTGGTTGAAGTAGAAAAGCTAGGTGGTGGCGCTGCTGCTGTCGTGGTCTGTAGAAGGTGCCCTGCAGCAGACGTCATGAGCAAGGCTTTGCAGGCAGTATTGAACTTTGTCATCTTTCCTGTGTAAGTACTGTGTGTTGATAAATGAATGGTGGAGTGTTGTTTGTGCGGATGGTGTAGGTGTTTAAGTTTCTGTTTATTTGATGAAGCCGGCTGATGAAGAAGTTAGTTGTTTCTAGTTAGTATGTTTGTTTTGATTGATTGTTTGTAGCTGTTCTTGATTTGGAACTTGTTTTTTATGATCATATCTTTTGTCTCTGATACCTTCGTTGCTAGCTAGCTAGATAAGGCCAAGCAAGGCATTGAGAAAGCCAAGCAAGGCATCGATAGTTAGATCCACTGTAGCCGTTCATGCTTTTCACCTCGTCTCCCGACGCAGCTACAGCGTCCGATTGTCGCAGGAGTTTGGTGATCTCAATGGATCCAGTTGTCGGTGGTGTGCAAAGCATGACTGTTGGATCTGCCGTTTTTCGGAACAATAGTGACTGAGTCACCCATTGGACTCGACTCAATGGACTGAATAACAATAGCTTAACGGTCACATGGCTAAACAGTTCAAACTGCGGGATTTAGAGACAAACTGGATCACCTCATCACTTTTTCAAATCAGCATGCAACTCCGTCACACCCAAATCCACTCCGGCTGTGGCCATTCCACTCTCTCCCTTGTCATCTTGTTTGTGATGAAGCATGGCCAAGGTTGGTGATGAGATGAGAATGAACTTGATAGGGAACCATCCTCCCACTGCCGTTGGTTCCTGCAGTGACGGTTCTACCTATGACAGCCGGCACACCAACAATGACGACAGTTCATTTTCTCCACAACCAATCTCTAGTAGATGCAACCTTACGACAACATTATTTCGCAAACGAGAGCCAATGGATCTTCCAGAGAGGAGTAGTCCTGATCTGGTGATTCGTCCTGTTGTAACGGTCGATGAAGAATCACCAGCAGCCCAACAACAATCATCACTTCAATCGCCGTTGACAACCTCCTTTTCGGCTCGAACGGACGGCAAATTATACCAATCTACCATATTGACCGATCTGATTGGCAAAAAGCACTACTTGGAAGCCATTCGTCGCCTACAAACGCATCCCAGTGAAGCATCCGAATGGGTCCAGTTGACGGAGAATGATATGCCCTACGAACGGTTGCCACTTCACCTGGCTTGTGCCAGCCTTGCCACAGCATCAGAGTTACAATCTCGCTTTCAGCTGGAACAACTCATTCTGAAACTGGTATTGACGTATCCAGATGGATGTTCCTTGGTAGATTACGACAACCGCCTCCCGTTGCACGAGTGTGTCTGGAACAATGCTACTCCAGAGACCATTTCCATGCTTCTCATGGGCGACCCAACATCTATGTATCAACGAGATCCCTGTGGTCGCAATGCCGCCGAAGTGAATCGCCATCGCTGTGGAGTTTTCATGGAGCAGGTTCAGGAGTTGTTGAGTCGAGGAATGGAGTTTTGGGAAACTGCCCGAAAACAAAAATGGGGGCAACCACCAGCCATGCAGGCTCTCATCATGGCAGCAGAATCTCACAATCATCATTACGACGACAAGTCGGAGGATGAAGAATACAGTCTGACGATTGGCTCACTGTGTGTTCCCAAAGAAATGGAATGCTCAGCCTATGACTCTAGCTTGACACCGGACGAGTACGAGTCGATCATCACAGAATCCACCATGGCGCCGATGCAACCACCTGTGATCACTCAAAGGCCACTGGGCAATCATCAACGACCAGAACAGCAAGCATTCCAATCTCCCGTTTTGAATCACACCTTTTCCTTTGGAGAAAATGTGGCAAGTCGCGAAAAGGCAATAGGCCGAGAGATACTGCAAAACATGTTGAATGATCTGATGGAGCAGAACAAGCAGTTGAGCTCCACCTTGACGGAACTAGCCAAAACCAATGCAGAGATGCAACGAACCAACACAGAAAAGCTCCTGTCACCTGCGCTGTCACCGCCACCACAATCGTTATTGGAAACTCCAGAATCCCTTCCACCGCTACTACTTGCTGCAAGTCCACATCAACATCACAGCAACAATGACGCAGAATTGGCTGCTTTGAGAGCACAAAATTCGGCGCTAAGACGGAAATGTGACCGATTGAACTCTCGAAGGAAAAAGCAGGCCGACAAGATACAGTTCCTGAAAAGCCTCTTGGCTTCGGAAGATGTGCTGGTGGACATTTCGGATTCCCAGAGCGAATCCACTCATTCGCTCTTGAGTGGTACTCAAATGACACCATTGTCACAGTCGTTCGATGGTAATAGCAGCTACGTTCGTCACCCGGAAAGCGTCCTGAGCACTCCAGAGTCTAGTGTCAATGATACCAAGCGAAATAATGTCGTCATCTCGGGTCTCGCCGCGTATCAGTTCAACGCCTACGTGTCGAGCCTTCAACAAAGGATAGGCCCAACGCCAAAGAAGCAAGGTCAAGGAGATGATGACAACCTAGCCGACATGTTTCGGCACGCAGCAAAGTTGTATTCGGATCATGTCAAGGAGTGCCCCTGGAGAAACGGGAAATTGATTCTGCAGTGGGAGCCGTCTCGAACCACAACAACAACAATGCCGGACTATGATCGACGACCACCGACTCATCGTTACGCCGTAGGTCAAGTCAATGTAGACCATGGATCAGTCATTTCCTACGAGGAAACTAGTCTCTCCTCCATGGGAATGATCTCTGGTGGGAACAGGAATCGTTGGATTTGAAAGAAACAGGAATGGGTTGAGATCGATTGGCCTGACTATTGTTGAAGCGTTTGGGCCGGATCGACGATCATACTATCAATGTGCAATGCTTCGACAAAGCACGCCTCAGGCTAAATTTTAACTTTCTAGCTAGCTGGAGTATTTATTTGGGCATAACTGTGTATGTGCTATTGTGCTGCTTCGTAGAGTCTATTGCCCATGTCAGTGCAGCTGGTACAGGAAACGTAGTATCTCCCGGCCCCACACTGGACCGAGACTACATCAAGGCAAACAGCATGCCGACTCTTCGAACAACACCGGGCCACACAGCTGGACTAAAAAATCCAGGACCTATAGTACGTCTGTTCCATCTCCTGGTCTATGCATCCTCATCAGGCTACCCTACTAGTCTAGTCCATCTCCAGGCCCCACGCAAACCTGGACCACCACCTCCTGGACCTGACCAACATCAAAGAGCTCATTCCGGGCATTTCGCATTTCGCCCAGCACGTCCGTCGAAAGGCACAGTAAATCCGTGACTGAGACTTCAACCAGGACTGCAAGAGATCCATCACTGCCAACTGCCGACACATCTACTAGTAACACAATCCATACTGAACGACGGGACCATGGTTGTTGTGGTTGGTGCTGGGATCACAGGAGCGGCAACGGCGTACTACCTCTCTAGAGCTGGTGTTTCGCCAGTTACAGTGATCGATTCCGTGGGAATCGCTACCTGCAGTAAGGCGGCAGCATTTTTGTCGGAATCTTGGGGAGACAGGACCAAAACCGAAAAGCTGCATCGTACATCCTTCCGTTTACACTTGGATTTAGCAGAGGAGCTTGGCTTGAAAAGCTTTCGTCAAATTCCAACTTATCACAAAACAGATCTTGAATGTGATGATGAGAATCTGTGGTCCTCCCATGCTAAGGAAGGACGTCATGCCTTGGTGGATCCAAAGGAATTAGTGTCGGCGCTGATGGATGCAGCACAAGAACGAGGAACTTCCATGGAGATCCAGACTTTGTCAGGCCTGGAAATGGAAGGGAGCACTGCGACTGGCATTTGTTTTCAAGATGGCGGCAAGCGCGATCTTGACGAAGAAGAAGCCATTGTGCTTTGCATTGGGCCATGGGCGTCTCGTTTGGAGGATTGGATAGGCACGCCAATGCCCATTGATGGAGTGCTTTCCACATCCTTGGTGTGGCAAGACCTTTGCTTGTGGGATGATCCAAAAGCCATGTTCTGCGAAGAAGACATGAATGGGTGTCATTTAGAAATGTTTCAGAGAGTGGACAAATCTATCTACGTGTCCGGTCTGGGCAATTCCAAACCACTCAAGGCATCCTACTTTCGAGGCAAAGATCGGCCATTTCCCGGAGAGGAAGTCCCTTCGCGGTGCGACGCTGCACTGAGAAGTCTCCAAGCCTTTTCTGCTATAAATCGACCTCCGGATGACATTAGAGCCTGCGTCCGACCCCAATCGCCGGATGGCGTTCCGGTTGTGGGCAAAATGGGTGGCAGTAGTAACGTTTATGTGGCATCGGGAGGGGGACAATGGGGAATAACTTGGGGGCCCTTACTTGGTCTAATGGTCACCAACATGATCTGTGAAAAGGACCCTCCCCTGTCTCCTATGTCTGCGTACAGTCCAGCTCGGTTTGATACACTTGTGCAGCGGACAATAATGAATGGACGAAGCAAGGAAGCCTGGCCATGACATGACATCCCATGACTCGACACACCATCATGACATGACATGGCACAGTGCCGTATGTCATACTATGCCTGGCAGTTTGAACGATAGGAATGATTACAAGTAGAGGTTCGCCTTCAGGACCGGGTTTCGGCGGGCTACAAACACCGAATGCCCTCGTTACCTCCCGTAACTTGAGTTAGCTTGCAAAGCCAGCGTCCTTGGCCCTACAGTCCAGTGCCTGCATCACATTCGAAAGAATCTTGCTTGATACAAGAAAGGGGGTACAGTTCATTTGTACTCAGATTTGAGCAAAAATTTTGTATGGTTAGAATGAGTTCGCTAGTTTGGTAAAGAAATTTGGCTGGCCCGTAAGAAAAACTGCCAGTATCAGTCTGAAACTGGTTCAAAACCCAACCCAATAGGCAACTTTTTCTATGCCTCATGGCACAGGAGAGGTTTTCACGGCGTCTGCAGTTCCTAACTTGGGAGGAGTAACAGCATTTGCTTGATCATCCATGGTGCCAACAAATCTGAGAGGATGTCCTGCCAGCCATACCTTGATTTGCGGTTGACAGAATAAGAGCCTGCTCTATTGAGATCTACTAGCTAGTACACTGATAGCCAGGCCTAGCTAGGTCTGGCCAGGCTGGATAATCTCGCAGCTACCAGGTAGCTAGCAGCCAGCTAAGATCGTACCGTACCAGATAAGAGAAACTGAGTGTGGGGGAAGAGATGGGGAACCCAAAACCCTGTAGTAAAAATAAACAAGAGCTTTCTTATAAGTAAGTTTGGAGGTTTGTAAGTTTGTTGCATCTTGGTAGTGGTACGAAGTCGGTACCACGAAGTCGGTACCACATGTACTAGCTAGAAGTAGTAGTTATTGCTCCTAATGCCTAAAACCCCAGACGTTACTGTTCTCTTTTCACTCGGAGTAGTGAAACTATAAGTCAACCAGATTCAGACCTACGTGGGCAAAACCACGTCGCCTTTGTTCCTTATGGATACGTGTGTGATTGGCTCAGCTTCAAAGAACTTTGTTCCCAGATGTTTCATGTCTGTTAAGCGGAAGTCCCAGCAATGGAAATTGTAAATAAATCTAATTAACTGTCGCTTATGTGTTCGAAGTCTCATAATTCCAGGAAAGTACAATAACTTTGTGGCTTAAATCCAATAGGCCATCTGTCTCAGTAGCTATTTCACTGGGACAATTGTGATTGTCTTGCACGCATCGTCGCTAGCTATGAGAAGTTCTAGAGGTGCAACGAAAAGGGCTTTGATAACTCAACGAAGGCTTTTGACCGGGACATTATCCGCGCAGCATCGCACAGAGCCTTTTGCGATCACGCGCTTCTTCGCAGCAAGTCCAGGCAAGCAAATAAGAAAGCAAACTAGCTAGCTAGTAGATGACAATAGAGGAGACACTTCAAGAACTGCTCCGTTTACGTCCAGTCCGCGACCTGTCCGGGAAGCTAGTACAGTAGCCAGTTAGAACACAACATGACTTCACATTTGGATGCCTCCATTGTATTTGAAGGCTACAGCTTTAGCCAACCTCCAGCCGCCAGTGCACCTGCAAGAAAGCCAAAGACCATGTCGGGAAAGTCAGGTCGTCGAACAACCAAGGGAGAAATGGACGGTTCAGCGTCGAGCCGTCGAAGCAACACAAGTCACCGCAGCAGCATGCAAGATCATTCCACTCGTTCCAGAAGGTCCAGCACCATTGATTCGTCCATGCATGATTTTTCCAGTAACTCCGACGAAGGACGACCGAGTGGCGTCGTGGGAGGGAGCTACTTTGACATGGAAGAAAGCTTTGAACAACCAGGAGCTCCCAAGAGAGCGTTGGGGATGAAGCTGTCCGACAGGAATGCTGGAGATGCCGTCTTTCGAACAGACAGGCCCACGTGGACCCAGATCTTTACGAAGGGTGGAGCATCATCCAACCGCCACCATCAGCATGATCATGATGAGAAAAGGCGATCGTCCCGCAGCAGCGGCGGCAAGAGCAAGAGCAAACGAAAGTCAAAACCCAAGGTCGCATCAGAGGCTCCAAACTAGATACCTGGTACGGTAGAGGATACGTGGGTTCTGGATGAATTTAATTTGATTTGCGTTGTAAGATAAGATCGTCAGTAGTCAAGCCAAACTATACTTACAGTACTATAGAAATATTGCTCAAACTATCTTAGAGACAGTGAAAAATTAAAGTAACGAAGTAAAGAACGAGACACCGAAGTCTGCAGACGTTATACGTGAAACTTGCAGAAGGCATGAATGCGCGGAAGGACAATCAAGAATGAGCGAATGTGCCATGTTAGGTGCAACGGCACAATGAATTCTTTGGTAAAAGGTTCTTTGCCTGGAGCTTTTGAAGGTCAAAATCAGCAGAAGTCCCCGCCCGCCTTCAAATCATAGCATGGCTTTAGTTGAGGCTCAAAACCGTTCCGCACTGACTTCACACTTCAAACCGAGCCACCCAGCATGAAGCTTCAGGCTAATCACATACCCGCCCGTACGGTACCTGTATGCTCGCGATCTCTTGCTGCTGGAAAGTATGCACACGACATACGCCCGTGCTGGCAACCAGAATCACTGAGCGTCTACAGTACCGTACGGGTAGAGCTGCCTGCTGGTGAACCACCCATGCTGGTCCCGGGTCCACCAAGACAAAGAAAAGTTCACACCCGGTAGTATCTGGATGATTCATTTCACCACAACTCATGTCCTCCATGCATTCAAACACCTACAAGAGCACGCCCCGGCCTCTAGCTAGGTTCTCTATCTCGCTCTTCTGTTCCGAATCCTCCAATCCGAATGAAATTGCGAGTTTGGTACGATACCAGCCGCCAGAACAACTGGCCGGGCCAAAACAAAAGCTTCACTCCGCTTCAATCTTGTCTCAATACGGTAGCTACCTACCGGTACCTACCGTTCCAGAGCTCCTCTCAACTTGTCCCAGGGCTCTATGCCTTTCATGAATTGAATGATGAATCTCTAGCTCTACTCCAGACTAGTAGCTACTAGCTAGTAGCCACCATCAAGAATCCCCAAAAATCTAAATCTAAATCTAAATCCAATCCAATCATCAATCATGCAATCGTCAACGAAAGTGCAAGCACGTCGCTGTCATTGGTGGTGCAGTGCCTGATACGGTACCTATAGGCTCGAGCTGGGTATATAGGCGGCGCGAGCGTCCCCGGCCGGCCAGAAGCCATTCGAGCTGGGATATGGGGCCCAGTGAGAGTCCAAAAGCAAAACAATGTAAATAACAAATTCGACTCACCAGGAGCT